TTCCGATAAGAACCTCTCATGTAGCGATGCAACCACTTGATCGTACACTTCTAGATACATTTTTTTATAATAACTTTTCGGCGTTAGAAATTTATGTGCACTTCCAGCACCTCCATTTTCCAACCGTCTTGGAATCTTGCGAATTCGTGACACTTGAGATTCATCTAATCCCAAACTTTTGGCATTTGTGGTTGCTTGTTTCCATATTTCTTCGAAACTTTTATCTCTACCTTCGGAAAAAACATCCATGATAGCTTGCACTTTATTATGTGCTTCACGAATATTTAGATCTACTTTTTGTAGGTGGCTATTCAAAGTTTCGATTCTTTCGAAAATAGCTATCATGTAACATAAATGGAAGTAAAATTCGAAACTGTCCAGGTGTTTCAAAAAGCCAATGGTCTTCGCATGACAGCTACAGTTGAGTGTTGAATCATTTTGCAACTGTTCAAAGAAGCTCTGAGCAGCCTTATAATTTGATAGATTCTGTAGTGTTTTTAGCGATTTTACTCGTACACATCTAATTCATTAAAAACATAATAGAATATAAATGTATCTTTAACAAGTTCTTTTACATTAGTATTGACAATGTCATATTTGATAATATAATATTTAAAACGAGAAAAAGTGTAATTAACATTCGTTTATACATGGTTATTTATCCTATATAATGCAAATATTTATATTTATATTATGCACTATCCATTATATAATTATAAAATATAATATTTATTATGTTTTACCTAGTAGAGCAAAATTGAGTCAACACAGGTTAGTTTTCTGCTTGCAATTCTTTAAATTGTGCTAACCGCTTAGGAGAATCTCGAATAAAAGTAATCAACTCTTTAACAATGCCAATACAATTTTTAGCAGTAAGCATTCGCTCCATTCCGTTTTGTACTACCAGGTTTAAAGTATGGGCATTGCAGTGAACGTATAGCGCGCGCGCGCGCTCGAGGTTCTAGTTCTTGGACACGAGCTTGCAATCCTGTAACTCGCCCACTGAAATTCGCTGCTCCATCACTAACTAGCTAGTAACACTAGCCTCTTAATTTGTGAATAATCATATAGTGTAAAAATATCCTTTACTATTTTAAATAATGCTTCAGCTGTCATACTATTTGTTTCAAAGAATCCCATAAATATTTCTTCTATGGTTAAGTTCTCTAGCACGATTCTTATCGAGAAGGATATTTGTTTCAATCGTGAAATATCTGAAGTTTCATCCATAATGATTGCAAAAAAACTTAGATTTTTAATTTTTGCGAGTTGTATTTTTATTATTATACTTCATTAAATGAAGTATTTTATTCACACTATCATGATGGATCCATTTGTACGTTTTTTGATTAAGCCATTTATTTAATATTGCGACATCTTCACTACGCAGTTGTAATAAATTTAATAAATTTGACGTCTCTTTAGTTTTTCCGCGAAAAGCTAAACCTTGTCGCACTAGATAGCTTATTGTAGAAACTATTTTTTATAAAGCTCGGGCATCTGCCATTTCTTTCTGTTTTGCTGCTGATAAGTGGTAGACAACTGTTTGCTTCTTGATATTTGATAGTCCTGTTATAGCAGACAAATGAAATTCAGTCTTTTTGTGACTTTTAAAGGTGCAACTGCGTTTTTCCAGCAATTAAATCCGTTTTTTTACAAAAGCGTCTATTGTTCTTACGGCATGAGAATCTGAAGGGAATGATAACTGTAGACTTACAGCTTCAGTACATAAGGTACAAACTGCTTTTCGATGTGCATTTAATTTTAGCCATGTAAACATTATTTTCCAACGTTTACATGATTTAGGTACATCGTTAGCTGCAATAAACCAATATTTATGCATATATATTTATAAGCACATTGAAAATGATAATAATTTGTATATTGTATGATTATAATATGTATATTTGCTATCGATCATAATAATTTCAATAACCACAGGTGCAAAAGAACATCACAATAAAATGTGTTAATTCAGTTAGTTGTTAGTTTACCTCTCAAAATATTGTTAAATATTTAATAATTTATAGTGTTTTTTAATTGCTTGACACATCTTGATACAAACATAACAAATTAATTCACTTATTTTCAGTATTAATAAATAATTTAACTCTTAATTACATATTCTTTGTCATGATAATCTCATAACCTTGAAAGAATAAAATTATTGATTAATACTGAAAATATAAAAAATTGATTAGTACTCAATTGCACTAATTGCCATAATCAACGACACAACGCTACACATCTGTACTCAGCTTGAGAATACTAGTCGGATGTGTAGCATTGTGTCGATGATTACGACAATTAGTATAATTGAATACAAATCGGTTTTCATATTTTCAGAATTAATCAATAATTTTATTCTTTCAAGGTTATGAGGTATTGTGATAACAAAGAATATGTAATTAAAAAGGTTAAATTATTTATTAACACTGAAAATAAGTGAATTAATCTGCTACGTTTGTGTGTGTGTGTGTGTGTGTGTGTTTGTTTGTTTGTTTGTCAAGATGTGTCAAGCAATTTTAAAGCAACCATAAATAATAAAGTGATCCTACCTTTATTCAGAACATTTTTTAAATGTCAGTCATTTACAAATGAATGGAAATCTGCTTCTGCGACGTATAATTTCCTACAGTTTTCTTCACTGTCATCAGAATTCAGTTTCAAAATTTTATCAGAATTAGATTCTACAATCTCACTGATAACGTCTATAAATGCAATAATTATCATGATCAATTACAAGTAAACGCAAAAGAATACAAAATTAATTTATAGCATAAGAAAAAATATAACTAACAATTAAAAATTTTATCAATTAATTTAAATATATTTTACAAGTTTATTATACCTTGATTCAATTTTTTAGCACAACTTAAATAGAAACTGTTAAATTCTCCTTCATTCGTTTTTTGTTGAAAGGCTGAGTTTGTGTACGTATTGTCGTTGGAATTTTCAGGCTCAGCATTCATACACATTGTAACAGGCACAGATGGCACACACACAGGCCTTTTGTTCGAATAATATATTTATCCATGTATAGCCGTCTCACCCAACTTATTCGGTCAAATCGTTACAAAGGATTGCAAGGCTGTATGTGTACTGTTGTACATGAGAAGAGATTGGAATTCATAAAGCTGCCTGGCTGTGCGTGTCACTACATGACATCAGTAGCAGGATGTCCAACCTAGAGTCTGCTAGAGTCCCTAGAACTCTAGTCCAACCTTAATTTCGTCTATCTTTTGTTATTGGCGTATAAAGACATTGAGCACTAGTAAAATACCGATAGAGGGAACGAGGGTCGTGAAAGCGGCAACCACGAATCGAGTTGTAAACATACGACTTGTCATATTTAGTTTAATCAATTTTCATTTTTATTAAAATATTAAATAATAAATTATTTCATCAAGAAATAATTTTTATATTCTTCGGATTTCCAAGTATGGAATTCCACACACGAAAAAATTTCGTGTGTGGAGTACTCCACATCAATCACACTATAGTCGACGCCCATGAAAAATATTACCTCGGCCGGGAGTCGAACCCGGATCTCTGGCATTCCGTGTGAGCATCCTAAGCTTTTAGACTACCGAGGCAATATATTTTCCATTATACATTTATCTTACCTTGAATTATTTCTACTTTAGTAGGATTTTAAACATTTGTTCTTCACCCTTTTTATTTAAAGATATTTTAACGAAATTCATTTTGCTACAACTGGCTATTATAATAGCTGGCGGTATTATGGCGACTGCAGCGCAGTTTGTCATTCGTTTACGCAGTACTGCGAGCAGAGCATCCTAAGCAGGACTTTCAATAGCTGCGCAAATGATATACATCCCTGCATAAACGAACGTCAAACTGCGCTGCAGTCGCTTTCGCAGGTAGAACAAACGAACGACATCTGCAGCAGTAACTGCATAAACGAAGCCATTGAGTGCATTCCAACAAGAAACACACTTGACATAGTGTGACACAGTGCTTCATTACATTCTTGTTGTTCGTCAATGTTAAACAAAGATAAGGTGATCATTATGTTGTACTTAGTCGCTTGTTGGAAGGCACTCATTGTTATTTTCAAGCTGGACTCTTGGCGTGAGATCACTTTTGATAAGAAATATAGGATTTTTTAATTTTAACAATTGAATTATCCCGTTTATCTCTATATTTAATTTTTTGATTTCTCTATCTAAGAAGTAAAGAATGTAATTAAAGGTTTTAAATTTTAAAGAATATTAAGTTTTGATTTAACAAGTTTTTCTCTGCCACTTTTTAAATGTAATGTTCACATTTTACAATGAATTATAATCAAGCAAGCGAGTTTATTGCAAATACGAATTAATCATTCGCACACAATGTCGTACATAATGAATGCGAACAGTATTTTGTTATTAATGATAGCGTTTGCAAGTTATTAATAGCAAATTGTTTATTCGTATTTGTTTTGTTTGTTTGGTTTGAATCTGATTTTAAATAATAAAATTAATATTATATATATAATCAATAAAATATTTTTAAAAATATAATGAAATTTCCTTATATAAAAAAACTGTTTGCTGCCTGCCAGTTGTGTTCAATTTTTAACATATTGTTGATGAAGGATCAAAGCTACTTTATAATGCTGGAAATAAGAATCTTTTGTTCTAATGCGCGCCTCGATATTTTGAAGCAACTCTCCACACTTTACATTGTTTAGGCCAATTATATAAGCTTATAAAGGCCAATAAATAAAGTGCAGCTATGAGATAATGTGGCAGATAAAGACAGCATGATAGAGGTCAGTTTCTCCCGCTGCTGATCTAATTGTAAGAACTTTGAGATAATCAACGGAAACTACTTTCGTTTTTCTACATTTTAATTGAAATTGAAGTACTTTCCCAGGTGAAATTGAAATGTAATATCTGAGCTCTAAGAAAGGAAACTCCTCTCAACTGGCAAACAAAATACAAAAATATCTAGAAGAATTTTGTGCTCATGATAACGGATATTATGTCACTCACTTGTCTATTTTAAATCTCTCGAGTATTCGTTTAGATCTATCGTGCGAGGAATGCGAACCGAGGAGCCAGGTAGTCCCGACATCCTCCAAGTCGAGGAACTGGCTCCTCTCATAGCCGGTGCACCGACGTGCGTCATCGGCGCTGGTGTACACGGAACTCGTGCTGGAGGAGGGCGAGGAAGTTCTCATGGTTTTTCTCTGCGAAAAGCTCCATTTATTAATACAATAAATGGAGTTGCGTCTGTACTTTGCGAACGATTAAACGATTTAAAATTGATCCACTCACTCGGAAGACATGCCGTTCGTTTTTCACCATCTACGACCGTATTTCTTCGTGTACTTCTCGACCGGCGCGTGTCGAAAAATTTCACGCCATATCGATATTATTGGCTACATCCTGTACAATTCAGAGCACTTCTTCAAGATATTGAGTTCAGTTCTTGACACAAGTTGAAGAACGCATGCGTAAACAATTTTTTCTACAGGAAGACAATTATCAAATATACCGACACAGATACGAAATGGCAACGATAATGATAATTGCACACTGCAAAGGCAAGATTACACTTGAAATGTCAGAAAAACATGCTTGTTACGTATTCCTTATATGCGTTGCAAGCGGAGCAGAACTGCGAAATGCAGCAGCAAATGTATCAGCTGAGCAAGTAAGATCGATGCGAGCCTGCGCAGCGACTGCAACAACGCAACAGGCCTGTAGCTACGAAATAAGTTGATGGAAATCCTATGTGTGAATTAAGTTTCAAATGATGAGACTGACTTTCATGTCGAAGATATTTGTGTGTGTGGATATCTGTGTTAAGTTTTGAAAATCGTCGATGGGTATGTAACACATCGTACCTCCATTCCTCCTGCGATTCGAATGTATATGATAAAGAACTTTTCTCTGTCATCTCTTTCCGAATGAAGTATAAAACTTCGATGCAAAATGCGAATATTCTACACACGCTTAACGCTCGGCCGCACTTTTCGCTCAACCACGTGCGAGTGCGTGTTCAGCAAATTCCCACCGGCACTTAAGTCTAATCGAATCAAATAGGCTATTTTGCACTCCCGGACGAACACAATGAAATTTTTTGATGAGTCCGCCAAGCGCAAGAAATTCACGATGAATTTTTGCTAGGCTGCGCGAAAAACTGATACACGCGATTTATTCGTGAAGAATGAATGACGAGAGGCAAAATTTGATCACTTGTTACGCACACATGTGTTTTATCGATGAATACTTGTCCCGATATGGTAACGGAATGAAAGTATAAGAAGACGCTCAGAAACACGTTTTGGAAACAGGATCAACTTGGGTACCAAGAAGGTATGTGAAGCAACTTCCATCGAACGAGATTTCAAAGCTGGTTTGAGTCTTAGCGTACATTGTTACGAATACGTACATCGGAAAAGAAACAGAACTACATTATTAATTTATTCATTCTGCAACAGGTGAGGTTATATGAGATTTCGCAAAATTACGAATTCAGTTTTTAGTTATTTTTTTATTTTTGCACTAATTTTTTATACACTCAGATATCGTTTATGCCGCAACTCTTTGTAACGTTAACATCGATTCACACCCGACAAAGTTCCTGAAATTTTATCATTGATAATGATAAACGGCAATTATCCGAACGATTTTATTTGATGAACTTGGATCAGCAGCTCGGTCGTTCGTAGATAAACAACTCTAGCAAATTTGAAATTGCATTGGATGTCGTGACATACGTGTGGAAACGATCAAGTCTCGTGCGTACGATAATAAGGTATTGCTATAATAATATATGTATATATATTTAGCAATAATATTATATAAATTAAATTAACACCGACAAAGAAGATGATCCGTATTCACGTCGCATTAAGCGTACAGTTTTTATTAATTCTTCATTATAGCCATTAACTTATGTAATAAATAATATATATTTATATATTGATATTATCCCTAAATATATCGGTAGAACCATATATAAATTAAACGTATACGACTGGAATAAGAGGGACTAGTTTGTAGGTATCAGTTGTAAAGAAAATACGTGAATACGAATCGATTCTTGCACGCTTTTAACAATCTCTCATCGAAACGTAAATGTTCTTCCCTTACAGAAATTTAATACTGGACGATAATAATTGATTACTTATTTTGAATATTAAAAATGCTGTTGTTCAGTACTTTAAATATTTGAAATAAATCATTTTTAGTATTAAATTGATCAGTATTAAATTAGATTTCTGTAAAGGTTGCCACAATCGCATCATTCAACATCCAGAGACGTCAAAGATATCTATATACATAAATTTGCACATGTATACTCTAAGCAGTTTTCTGGAGCATCAATTCCAACGGCTACTTACGCTAGCAGCTAATTGTACTCTCTAAAGTCTTTGGAGTGGAATCTCTAAGGTCTGTTACATAATAGAGTCGCAATTCGTAAGCCGTAAGAAATTGGCCAATCACAGTTGAATATGACAAAAATAATCGACTATGATTGGTTAATTTCTTACGGCTTATGAATTGCGACTCTATTGTGTAACAGGCCTAAAGAATGAAAATTAAGACAGTCTTGAAAAAGAGTGGCTCAATTTTTAATCTATAAGAATAATATTTCACTCTAAAAGTTTTAAAGAATAGCTTTATCTACATCAGAGCTGTCCGGTGTATTTTTGCTTGAAATCAAAATGTATCGATATTCACACGTATTACCGTTCCTACTCCTTACTTTATTCTTGTTTTATCGTAGCATGCTCGGTTTCAGGGACGACACTAGTTTGAAATCATTAAAAGTTTTTGACCTGTGTCTTTCACTATATTTAAAAGTATTCTGTTATTCATATTTTTATAATTAAATATATTATGAATAATAGTATCTTATAATAGTAGTTAGTAACAGAATACTTTTAAACAAAGCGAAAGACACGGTCAAAAACTTTTAACGATTTCAGACTAGTGTCGTCCCTGAGACCAAGCGTCGCAAATTATGCTATGACAAATTATAAGATACTATTATTCATAAATAATGAAGTAAGGAGTAGGAACAGTAATAGGTGTGAACACTGAGACATTTCGATTTTAAACCAAAAAACACCGACCTTGGACAGTTCTGATCAACATTGCTAATAATTCTCGCATTGACATCAATCACAAAAAAAACATAGGAATTCACGTCGTTGTAATTGTAACTACTGAGCGAAACTTGACATTTATAAAAGACACAAACGTGAGACTTATCTTCTCCTTCCTTAAATAGTAACAATATAATATTCGAGTACGCCTCGATATTCGCGTCTTTGATTCCACAACGTTTACCACTTTCTGTCAAAAGAACTTTCTCGGGTGTTCGACTTTCGTCCGTTGTTCTTCGCTCTTTCACAAGTTTCTATGACTTGCTTCGATAAATTAAAGATAAATTGGATCGCAACTTTCGTAGATAACGCGTTTTCGTTAATTCATCGCTGACGTAAACTTTCATCGGTATTTAATCGGAAACGATCGTTGATTAACTCTTCGGAACAAGCGAACAAATTTCTTGAAATTGAGTTTGTCGACGGTGTATTAATCAGTTCTTCGGTTTTTGTTGTAAAGAATGGTATCACGTCATTGTTGCGTCACGTAGTGTTGCAGAGTGAGAGTACAAAAATATAATTTCACGATATGTCAATATCAACGTCGAGCATAAAGATCTAAAAAGATCAAATCTATATTTTCTTTAAACTTTTTACGTTAGGTAGGACATGTGAGAGATGATTGAGATCAATCTACAAAATATAAACTTTGGGCAAATTATATGACGAATTATACTTCCTCTTCATTCTCGTGTCGCGAACACGAATAACACTTGTTAAATACAAATTATCAAAGTAACTCTCTTCGCAATTTACCGGCTAATTTTATTTCTGTAAATTCACGAAATAAACGCGTATCAGTGTTGCTTAAATACACGCAGTGAAAATTTTGTTTTATTCGCGCCCCTCCCCCCCCACACACACACACACGCACGCACGCACGCACGCACGCACACACACATGACACACACAACGAATTATTTAAAAGAAAATACATTTAAGAGATAGGCTTTAAGAGGAGGGAGTTAGAAGTGGCCTCAGTTGCGCAGCCTCCTCGGAAACTTCGGGATCGCGGTCACTGATTTTCGACTTTTGTCGCGAAGGTCTCGTCTGCGAGTCTTCCTCTTTCGTCCTATCAGGATTGTCGTCTTGATCGTTTCTTTCTGCCTTGGTTTCAATTTCTTCAACACTGCTCCAACTGCTTTCACTCTCGCTAAACTCTCTTTTCTTCATATTACCATTCATCCTTTCCTTCTCTCTTTCATTCTGTTCGCCAGTCTCCTACAGTCGAGTAATTAATTGTGTTTTTAAAGTTAGAATTGAATTGTGTGAATGATGTATTAAAGAATACAAAGCGATGATTATTTAACCCTTCCACATTATGATCGCTATTAAAATTGTCGATAATCGTTAAATAATTATTTAAGATAATTATTTAAAATAATTGCACAACTGTATAAAATTAACAGTATTGATCGTTTTCGAATTCATTTCATCACTTACTATAGTGAGAGATTTAAGCAGCGTGGTAGTTGTTGTCGTGGCTGTAGTTGTATCCGTGGTATCGCTGCTTTCGCTGTTATTGTTCGGCCTCATTGTAGTTGACAATGCGCCTTCTTCTAAATTCTTGCCGCGTACGTATCGTATACGTGAGGACCAGCCATCCGTGTTCGCCTTCGCATTACCCTTGCCGTACTTTGGAACCACGCCGGTGGTCCATACGCTCGCATCGCTACTTCCCGTGCTGCTCTCGCTTCCGGTGCTGCAGTGTCGCCATCGACGTTCTGTGCACGTGCGATAAATGAGATATCTCTTAAATAAGGTCAAATATTAATCTGGTTAGAAGTAACTCAGTTACTTCGACGATCTATTCATTTGCAAATCTCTATATGAAACTAACGGTGAACACGTTGAGCGACGTTACACGTTGAGCTTATTTAATGTCTTTTTGCTTATAAAGAGGATATTATGCCAAACTGCGAGAATTTAGATGGAAGAGAAAATGAGAATTCGCGTCAGAAACGTGAACTAGAGGCGTGATAAGTTTTAAAAGTCGCGATTTTATTTCAGAATTGCAAATGCGATGGATGCACACACTACAAATGTTAACATGTGACATACTTTCGCACGGCGGTGGATTAATATTGGAATTGAGGGATTTTCTCAGAAGGGGGCTGCCTCCGTCTTGGCTCTCCTCGCTGTACGCGCGCGTTATGAGGATCCTCGGGCTCCTCTTCGGGGTCTCGCACATAGCTATGGAGCATTCCGCACCCAAATCCGCCCCAATAAAGTCGCTCCGATAATGGGGACCCATCAGACTGGCGGCACTCGCGCTCGCCCTCACCAATTTGCTCGGTTCACCTTAGCGCGCCATGATGAAAGGATGACGCTTATATCAGTGTCGAAACGTTTATCCATCAAGGATCAAGAGGGTTTACAAAGATTTGATTCATTTCACTAGAGGTCTTTCTTTTTTATAGAGACATTCGCGTTAAAGTGCGAGGACCTCAAACACCGGTTTTTAGTTGCAAACTAATTGTAAGAGGAACTAAAAACTATTTGGATTTTATCTTGGTAAAGTAATATCAGCCGCAGGGAACACGTACCTGATTCAGCGGTCGGCACTCTGAGAGTGTTACACGAGACAGCGGGTTGTAATCTGCCGCGCTGGAACCCCAGGTTATTGCTTTCAAAACTACCCCCAGTTCTGCACGAGCCAAGAGCCAATAATGCCTCGCTCAACCTTCGCTGTAGAGGAGGGAATGGGAAGAAGGAAGTGTTTCCACTGCCGGAAGGTCTCCTAGATCCCGCGACGCTCGGTGTTCTCGCTTGTATCTCCTAAAACAGATTTACAATTGCTCTCATGTTGTTATATACGTACATACGAGTATACGAACATATAATAGGACATAAGAGCAATAATAACCGTAAACTGTAAATTACTACTGTCCTTCGCTTCGCTCGACGCACAAGCACCCCTTCACGAGCGTTCATTTTTCTCGCGTTTCAAATTACCTGCTGTAATTCCGACTTAGTTGCCTTTTTCCGCCAGTAGTTCTGCACAGACCGTCGCAGGGTCTGCGATTTCAAACCGTAAAGAAGGCCGTTGATGGGTGGTGAGCACGCGAGGAGGAGCGACGCTAAAGAGGCCAGCTTAGGATGTGCGTGAAGACGGTGCTGATTACCGGCGCCGCAAGCTTCCCAGAGGATAAATCCGCAATACGGAAAATACAGTAGGTACAAAGAGCCGACCAGTTGCATCACCTGAAAAGTTGTCGTTTGCAAAACTGAGACAAGAATTGACAACAACCGTTTGAACACAGCGCGAAGCTATTTATCTTTATAGCAATCAAAACGTGTATCGATTCACTAATAAATCAAACTTTAACTAATTATATTAGAAAATTGCCGAATCGAGTCCTCGAATAGAAATTAAACGGCAGTCCATAATCACGAGACGCTGCGAGCGAGGAAGTTTTGGTACTTCGTCGATGCCTCCCAGCGTGGCGTCTATCGATTTAACTTGCTAATTCCGGGGCAGAAAATTAAATTACAAATTAGTCTTGAACTACGGGTGCTTTTCATTAGCTTTATTAGCTTAAATCAAGTAACTTAACCAATTAAGCCTTAAAGGCTAAATTGGTTAGATATTCTTATTAAAGACTTGATTTTGACCGCAGAATCAAGTTATATCGTAAAGATA